ATGTGCTTCACAGTCCTTCTCCACTCAGGGTTAAAGCTCGACAGAAATCGAATGTTCATCTCCATGTTCGACTTATTCACTTTTATCTTCTTCATTTAATTCAACAACATCACATACCTATTTTAGGTCTCGTGAAGTGGTTCACTAGGCTTTGCCTTAAAGGCATCATAGGCAGTCAATGTGCTAGCTTTCTTTGTCTTGATACCCACCTCGGTACCCTGCATTAGCTTACGAACTTCATCCCACATTTTCTTAGCTGTCTCCATGCTATCGATCAGAATGTAGATGTCATTCGGAATTGTTTGTAGTAGGTAGGTCTTAGTCATAAGATCAACTTTGATTCTCAGTCTGTTAGCATCAGTGTAATCTTTTGGGGTTTTCAATTTCTTTTTAGGTTCAACTAGAGGGTTGTTCTCGCCATCTTCTCCGACTTTCATCCAAAGCTCAGCGAGTCATTCGTTCAGAGTCTGAAGCATAGCAGATGAGTTGTCCTTGCTTTCCAGAAAGTTAAGGAATCTGTTACTCCACATCAGGTATTCTCCTCTCCCGAGAATTGGTGGTCTGCTTTCGTTACCTAGTGGTTGATCGAAAAAAACAGAAAAACAAGGTTCAAAAACTTGAACTTCGAAAACCTAGAGTTCGAAAACCTAGAGTTTGAGAACCTAGAATTCGAAAAAAAATGTTCGAAAACTGAAAATTCGAAAAGTGAAACTTCGAAGAACTTAAAGTTCAAAACACAAGTTCGAGAACCTGTAATTCGAAAAATAAGTTTGAAAGTTTAAAACTTGGAAAAGAGAGCTTCGAAAACTTTAATTCGAAAAAGTGGTTCGAAAACTTTGAATTCAAAAATTTGTCCTTAGAAGAATTTATGTTTTCTGAAGTTTGAAATCCCTCTGCTGCGAAAAACATGTTCTTCGAGAATGTCCTGCAAAGTTTCCTGATCTAAAAAATCTTTAAACGTTCAAAAACACTTGTTTTCGAATAACACTATCGAAAAACCGAAAACTGCAAATCTCCAGAAATCGAAAATGAATATACACCAGACGTTCGTTTCGAGAAGGCGATTTCAGCCGTAGAACAATCTTAGTTTTTCGAGCAAAAACAAGAATACAACATCAAAAATTCAAAAACTTCGAAATACTAAAAAACATGGGATTTCTTCGATCAATCTTCACTCTTTGGCTCTGATACCAGTTTTTGTTCCCTGTTTTAAGAGATTATCTAACAGTTATGGATGCACAGAAGAGAAATAAACATTGAGAGAAATTTCATTTAGAATGATCTTGCAATATTCGAACAGATGAAATTTCTCTAACTAGAATATCGGAAACTCTATTAGCGGTACTGTAGATGTGCGAAAAACTTAGGCTGTACACTCCTAAGCGCATAGTTGTATGCGTAGGGTGTACAACATCCCTTAAAGGGCCTAACATAGGGAATTGTGCCTTATACACAAATGGCGCTTTTCCTTAATAGGCTATTCTATTTATTACAAATAAATACCATAAATAGCTAACTAACAAGACTATTTTTAACAATTTGATCACAATAAAAATATTTTCAATAATCTCTCTCTCTCTCTCTATTTATCTACCTATCTCTCTACCTCTCTATCTATCTCTTTATCTATCTCTCTATCACTTTATTTGTATGTTTGTCGATCGATCCATCCACTCATCCACCCAACGATCCATCATAATATAAAGGATCTATCTATAATAATATAAAGTAACAAGGTGTGAACTATATTTTGTAATACAGTTTCCTTCCCAATTGAATACAAATTCTCTCTCATATAGTAATATTAATCAATAATAATAGGAAAATAATAACAAGATCAAAGCATCAAATGTATCCATCTATTGTAATACCACATCCATCTCATAATGTAAGATACACGTGAGTTTGGTGGAAATTTTAAGAAAATACTTCGTGAAAGATAAAGAAAAAACTAGATGTACACAAATATGCTCAATTAAACTTATTTACATAAATAATGATTAAAGTTACTATAAGCACAATGGTATGATAACTTAAGGAGTGATAGGGAATGCGATGACAAAAATTTCATTGCAGTTAACTTTACTACTACTGTATTTTTTTTCAAAAATGCTGGAGGTACACCCTGGATTATATCTTGGGTGCATCCTATATAAAGCCTCCCGCCTATGGGCATAGTTCAACTTATAGATAAGAGGTGTCACAAGGAGTAAGTCTCGAGTTCAAATCATGACAACTGCGGTGATAGTTTATTATGTGAAAATGCATAGAGTTTCTGCAACTACTTGGGCCATAGCCCCGGTCACTATCTTCTACCTTAGCTTGTGACTAAAGTTCAATTTACATACTCCCAGTTAATTGTCCGGCCGATGCTGAGGGGGCTCAGGGATGGAGTGTCATCTTTTTTTTTATTATATAAAGCCTCCCCAAAAATTTACCATCACCTTCTTTCCTTCCTCCCTCCCTCCCTCCTTTCATACTCCATCTTCACACTCCTTTCCATCATCATCTTCACATTTACCTTGTCAATCCACTGAAATGTTGATGTTTGAGAATAATCGGAAAGTTGCTGGAAAGTTACCGAAAAATTAGAATCACCAGATTTTTGTTTGTGTGGTATGTAAATATTGTCTGTGTCGTGATGAATAATGATATATTGTCTTTAACGAAAGACTAAACTAAAAACTAGTAACATTTTATAAATTGTCGCCCCAGACAAAAATTGTACGTATACAGACATTGATTTTCTTTATGTGTTTGTATACACAGAAAGATATATTGTACCGAAACAAGTGTCTCTGTACCGGACCAAAAATGTACATGTCCACATTTTTTTGTCTATTCAGACAACAAATGTTTGTCTATACATACATAGGTCTCTGTGCAATCATCCTGACATTTTTACAAAAAAAGTACGCAATCAATGTCCGTGTACACACACATTAGTCATCTATGTGTATCGTTATTGTTTATGTACACAGACAACTTAACCCTAATATTAGTTGTCTACACAAACAAAAATGTTTGCACCCATATATTTTATGTCTTTGCACACACACACTGGTTTTTGTGCCACCTAACATTGAGTGCTCTGTAACATTTTTTGTCTGTGTACACATATATTGATAGAAAACCTGTGTCTGCATACATTCGTTTTTTCTATGGCAAAATTTTGCAAAATGTTATTAGTTTTTGAGTTTCACTTTTAATACAGACAAATTATATTATTTTCAGTGATTTCAACTCCGGTTATTTTTCGGCGACACTTGCGGTGACTACAACTCCGATGATAATGAAGTATGTGAGATAAAAGATGGCAGAATATGACATGTGAAGATGGAAGCTAATAAAGAAAGAAGATGAATAAGACGGAAACGCTGGAGATGAAAGATGTTGGATATGAGATCATGAAGATGAGATGATGATGATGTAAGAAAGAAAAAATAAGAAAAGGAGGGGAGCGAACCATATGGATGGACATGAGGAGAGAAGAGTGAATGAAAGAGAGGTAAAATAAACGTTAAATTGAAAAATACTAGTTACACGCAAAATTAGTACACAAATTACGCACAAAATGCCTAGTTGCCTATATACATAGGCATTTCATTTGATAAAAGACAAAATTTTATGTCATAATATCTGTGTACACAGACAAAATGTACAATATGATCGGAAACTGTGGATGAACAAAACCGGGTGGTTGACGCATATAACCCTCCTCTGTAAGTTGACCATGAAGAAATGCATTTTTAACATCCAACCGATGAATATGCCAATTATATGAAACAACTAATGTAAGGACAATTTGAACAGTGGTGGGTTTGACAACAGGTCTAAAAGTTTCAGAAAAATCAACCCCATCATGCTGCTTAAACCCCTGAGCAACCAGACGTGCTTTATGTCGTTCAATATAGCCATCAGACACGACGACGGGGATGGCCAGTCAAACACTGGTGGAGTTCGGCGGACATATCCTGGGCAGGCATGGTCTGTGGAAATGACAATGAAATGGAGGGTTGCAAAACAGATGAACTGGCGCAAAGGAAAAGGTAACCGGGACTGTCGTCATAATGGAAGACGAAGAAACCGTCATTGTCGGCGTAGCCGTGATGTTCGGCGCTGTTGCGGTGGTGTTGGCGGAAGAGGACGTCATAAATCAAAAACCCTATGCTCTTGATACCATGTGAGAATAATAAACAGATTTAACCGGACTGGTAGCTGTGACTGTATATTTATGATGTAATAAGTTGCTTAATAGAATAAGATACTAACTAATACTCCCTCCATCCCTTTATAATTGTTCAATTTTTCCATTTTTGGATGTCCCCCAATTATTGTCCTGTACCATATTTAGTAACATTTGTGTGGTTCTAATTCATTCTTACTTTATTTTCCCTTTATCGGCTCATTATCAACCACATAATTAATTTTACTTTTCTTAAAAATCACGTCACTCCCTTCCGTCCCAACATTAGGGAGTAATAATAAGGGAAAGTTCCCGAAATAGGACTAAAACAATTTGAAAATTCCAAAATAGGGCTGTCATGTTTTTTATTCTCAAAATAGGAGTAATTACTCTCAAGTTTAGAAAATACTGCCATGTTTGAAGTCTGGTACTGCCAAAACATGGCAATAATTAGTCCTATTTTGAGAATCAAAATATGAAAGTCTTATTTTGGAATTTTCAAACCTTTTAGTCATATTTCGGATAATATTCTCTAATAATGATACTATCGTAGTTAATTCTACACTATTACCATTTGTATACAAATTTTGTGGAAACCATACTTACCCTCATCATTTTTTACCAACCACATGCAGAACGCCAGGACATGTACTTCAGACGTCCTTGGATTTGATTCTTAAAACTGCTTTTGCTCCTTCAAGAAGCAGAAGTAGAAATTGGAGTGTTTGGATGAAATGCAGAAGTAATTCTGATGCTCTAATTTACTACCAGATTCTGATTATGCTTTAAAACTGCTCTTCAGAAAGTTATCGTTATATCTCTCAACATGGTGGGAAATGCTCATTCTTCTGTCTTCTTCCACGACTGCTTCCCATATGTTCTGTCTGTCTAGAACACTCATAACCCACAAATCTTGGATCATCGTTCCCGCCATGTCGATGGACTTCAACTCTCATGCCTTTGCGGGCAACCCCATCAAGCTTAGGACCCCAAAGCCCACCGATCCATATTCATCCACCTCAGCTCTCCAGATTCTGAAAACCCTAATCTTGGGTAGGACCATTGAGCCCCTTTCGCCCAATTTCAAAATCTTGCCTTTCAGAAAGGGCCGGCCTTTAGCCGGCTCATCAGGTAACCCATACCTCAGCTGGCACCTGGGTTGGTTGGAATTTGGCGACTGTAGGGGATTGTTGGAGGACTGTGATGTAAAATTGAGTGATGATTCATTGGTCTATCTGGGGTCCAAGGATGAGGATCTAAGTGTTGTGTACTGGGCTATGGATGTGTCTGAATGTGGTAGTGGTTTGGTGAAAAACTTGGGTGATAGACAACTTTGCTTTCTTGAGCTGAGGAGCTTAATGGTGGCCTCTGATTGGGCCGACTCTCGTGTGATGGGCGAACTTGCTGTTGCTGGTCATGTGAGTTTGGCCTCCAACTCTCTCATCTTTTCCATTTTCTATGCTGATGGAGACGGACTGGAAAATGTGATAATTTATATTAGTATATGTAGGGCTGTAACTGAACGAGTTCCAGCCTATGCTCTGTTTGAGTAAGTTCGTGTAGTATAAAATAGTTGTTCATGTTCTTGCATTTAGCATTAAAAGTATTTATATGAATGCTCAATTATATTTGTTAAGTCCCTGTTCTCTCTTGTGCCTCGTGTGTTTGGTTGCACATGTTTTGTCTAGGATATGCATTCTCAGGTCTCAAAACTTGATCCTAAATCAATCAAGTGTGTTTTTCTGGGTTATTCCCGAATACAAAAAGGATGTCGATGTTATTCTCCTTCATTGGGTCGATATATTATCTCTTTAGATGTCACATTTTTTGAAGAAACACCTTTCATTTAGCCTAATTCATCTTCATCCCCTTCTCTGGAACTCTCTAATGACGAGTTTCTAGTCTATACCATCAACCAGCCATAATCTATTCCCCCATTGAAGTTTCCCCATCAACTTTCCTTCCTCCTCCAGCTCCTCCCCTTAAAGTTTACTCTTGTCGTGTGCGCCCTGTGACTACGGCACCTACTTTGCCTACCAGTGTACCACCATCTTCTACTTCGCCTCCAGATTCTGCTCCCTCTCACCTTGATCTCCCTATCACCCTCCGAAAAGGTACTCGTACTTATACTTATCCTGTTTCTTACTTTCTTACTTATAATGCATTGCCACCTTTTTCCAAGAGCTTTGTTGCTTGTTTATATTCTATTGTTGTTCGTTCAACTGTTTCTGAGGCATTGGCTTATCCTGGTTGGTAAGAGGCAATGCGAGAGGAGATGATGGCTCTCGATCAGAACCACACATGGGACCTGGTTTATCTTCCACCATACAAGAAAGCTATTGGGTGTAAATGGGTGATCACTGTCAAAATGAATCCGGATGGTTCTGTTGCTCGTTTAAAGGAATGGTTAGTACTTAGTAGCTATGGGTTATGCTCAGACATATGGAACTGTTGCCAAACTTACATCCATTCGATTGTTTATCTCTTTGACTGCTACTTTCAATTGGACACTCCATCCACTTGATATTAAAAATACCATTTTGAATGGTGATCTTAGTGAGGAGTATACATGGAACAACCACCAGGGTTTCTTGCTCGGGGGAGTCTGAAAAAGTATGTGAATTAAGGAAATTGTTGTAGGGTTTGTAACAATCCCCACGAGCTTGGTTCAGCCGTTTCAATGCAACTATATTTTAATTTGGCCTACGCTGGAGTGCCTATGATCACTCAGTTTTCTTTTGTACCTCTGATTCTGGATGCATTCTATTAGTTTTGTATGTTGATGATATTGTGATCACTGACAGTGATGCGAGTCGTATTTTGAAACTGAAAGCTTTCGTGGCTACTTGCTTTCAGACCAAAGATCTTGGGCCCTTGAAGTACTTCTCAGGGATAGAAGTCTCATGTAGTAACAAGGGAACTTACTTGTCCCAGAGAAAATATTGCCTAGATGCTTTAAATGATGCAGGTTTCGTTGAGGCAAAACCGCGTGATGCTCCGATGATCCCAAATGTAAAGTTAACGGCTGATGAAGGCGACTTGCTCGAAAATTCTGAGGTATACCGAATGATTGTTGGGATACTGAATTATTTGACTATCACCCGACCTGATATTGCTTTTCCGGTCACACAGGGATGCAATTACTGATATCCCAAGATACTTGAAGGGGGCTCCTGGGCGTGGGATACTATATCAAAACCACAGACATCATGTTATTGAAGGGTTTATTGATGTGGACTATGCTGGTAACCCTAATGACCGACATTCCACCATTGGTTACTGCATGTTTGTTGGAGGAAACCTTGTATCCTGGAAGAGTAAGAAGCAAAATGTTGTCTCTAGATCAAGTGCAGAATCTCAATACCGAGCTATGGCACAAACTACATGTGAGCTGGTTTGGCTTCGACATTTGCTTGATGAACTTGGATTTGCTCAAACATAACCAATGAAATTATGGTGTGATAATCAAGCAACTATCCATATTGCAAATAATCCTGTTTTTCATGAAAGAACAAAGCACATCGAAGTTGATTGTCACTTTACTCGAGAAAAGGTAGAAGATGATACAATTTGCACTTCCCACATCAAAACAGGAAATCAACTAGCAGATGTGTAGATGTGTTCACCAAGGCTCTACTGGGAACACGTATCAATTCCATCTGTACCAAACTAGGCATGATTAATATCTATGCTCCAACTTGAGGGGGAGTGTTAGAATATACATATTTAATGTTAGAATATACATATTTAATAGTCAATATATTCTATGTATATATGGTAGCTAATATATTCTCTGCGGTAGACTAAATATTGAATTAATTCCACTTTAGGTCCTCCGAGTTTTGTGTCGTTTCCATATTTAGTCCTCGTCTTTCACTTTATCCATTTTTGGTACCTGACTATTGCTTTCTTGACCATTTGTGGTCCATTTCTGAGCATATTTACTATCAGAAAAGGACTATATATGGTCAAGAAAACAATAGTCAGGTACCAAAAATGGATAAAATGAAAGACGAAGACGAATTGTGGAATTGGTGCAAATCTCGAAGGACCATAAGTGAAATTTCTTCACTAAATATTCTATGTAAATGTGGCAGATTTAGTTTCCTTTTGTATTCTCTAGCTTGTTTGTATATATACTTGCTATACTCAATGAATAATAGACTGTGATTTCATTGCATCTTTAATCTTTATTACTCAGTTTACACATACCATAACATACATCAAGCTGCCAACTGCTGATGCATTAGAAACCTTTTCCATTTCTTCCTTGTCTTTATCCGTTTTAGGTGATTGCTTCTTAGTAAGTTTAAAATGACTTCCCAGAGGTGTACTTTAGGCTTTAGCATCTTTCAGATTGAACTTCTCTAGTGCCTTCCCAATGTATTTTTCTTGAGATAACTTTAGGGCCTTCTGCTCTATCTCTATTGTCTAGTGATGCTCATACCAAGGATCTGCTTTGCATCTCCCAAGTCTTTCATCTCAAATTCCTGAGATAATTGTTTCTTGAGCTTGTTGATTTCTCTCATGTATGATCCTGCAACCAACATATCATCAACATATAACAACAATATGATGTAGGAGGATTTGAATTTCTTCAAGTAGCAGCAATGATCCATAAGACATTTCGTATATCCATTCCTTTTCATAAAATTTTCAAACTTCATGTACCACTATCTTGGTGCTTGCTTCAATCCGTACAGACTTTTCTTCAGTTTGCAAACCAAGTTTTATTTCCCAGCTATCTCAAAACCCACCCTCCGGTTGAATCATGTAAATATCTTGGGAGATCTCACCATCTCTATGAGGAAGGACCCTAGTGGGATCCGTAGCAAGCCAAACTTCACTGTAAAACCTATTACACAAATAATACAACTCAAACTTTCATAATTAAATAATTAAATAAAATAACATATAATGGTAACTAATAATCATCTTAATTTATTTAATACCTTGGATTCAATGAATGAGCTAGGCAGTGAAGAGGTGCTGAACCCTTTCCGCAACGTGTCACAAGAATATCATATACTACGCTGAAGAAAGCACTAGATGAGCTGAGAGATTTTTCTTCATGCTTATAGATTGCAACTTTGACTTTCTCAATCATTGAATTCCACATCTCACACACCAAATGAAGACACGCCCTATCAGTATCACATGCTCGAATCATACTGTAAATAGGATCTGAGAAAGCAAGAATGTAATCAATTTGATCCCACCAATACTCAAAACCTTGTCCCTCACAAACCTTGCCTTGCCTTGGTCATCTTCACGGTATGATGCCTACTCATCACTCAACACCATAGCCTCAAGACCACGTTTAATAAGCTTAAACCTCTTAAGCATCAAGCAAATCGGGTGTCCGCCACAGAAAGTAATTTAAGGGACATGAATTTATTGAACATGGACAATATCATAGTATAATTCATGATGAAATTCTTTATGTGAATATCATCATCATGAATTTCAGTGATCCAATGACATTTCTCATAAACTTCTGTGTTGCTCTCCACATTCTTTGCAACACATATGTTCTTTAGCGCAAGATTTAAAGTATGCACTACACAAGGTGTCCAATAGATGTGAGGATACATACCTTCAATTAGTTTTCCTGTACCCTTGCAATTTGCAGCATTATCAGTGATCACCTGCACCACATTTCGATGACCTATCTCATCAATGACTTCTTTCATCAAATTAGCAATGAATTCTTTTGATTTAAATTCACCCATACAATACACTACCTTATCAAACATGGGACCACTTCCAGGTGTTGCCATAAAATCAATTATAGGTCTTCTTTGAGGATCACTCCAATCATCAGTCGTACTTGCCACTCCTCTTTCCGGCCAAGTAGCTTTAAGTGGTTGTAATAACCTCTCACATTTGCCTTTTCTTGCTGAAGTAAAGTGGTCCTCAATTTATTGTAGCCTGGGGGACATAACCACCTAAATTATGATTGGCAGCAAACAAAAAAGCTCTCACATAATATGGATTCCTAGCAAGATCAAATGGCAACCCTCCTGTAAAAAACATCCGGACAATTTCTTCATCTAATTTTCCTCTAGCATCCATATCAAAAGCTTTCTCCAAAGGATTCAGGCTAGCTTTTCTTTTATTAGGTAAACTAGTATTACCTATCCAATCCATTTATTTTAGGAACATCTTTAGGTGCAACTTTTTTTTTAATTTTTTCAAGTTCTTCTTCTAGCTTTTTCATCTCACGCAAATCATTAGATTGAACCTTATTACATATAGCAATTCCTTGCTTTGAAATTTGAAGCAAGTGAGCTCTTACTCTAGAATAAGATTGGGTTAGGCCCATTTGTATATCTTGTATAGGAAACCCTTGTACTCTAAATATAGCTATAAATATAGCTTCTTGTATATCATTTTAGTATCAAAATATATGAAATACAACAATACTTCTTCACATGGTATCAGAGCCTATATGGCAAGAAGTAGTTAGGGCGTTGGTTTTCCGGCGAGCATTTCCGGCATAATTCCCGGCGTGAACAGTAGCTGCGATTGGTATTGGAGCACGCTTCGGTAGTGAATATCTACACCTACCGCCTTGCTCAGCATAACATCGCGACCAACCACCCAGAACAGTATCAGAACGGAGGCTACCACGCGCCCTCACGCGCCACCGCCCCCTCCCTGCAGTTCACTTACATATTTGCAGATCTACTCCGTTCTAGTTATCCGGAGATCTCACAGTCGATACCGTGAAGATTTGGAGTTCCTGGCGACTTGAACAGCATAACCCAAGCGCTCATCAGAAGATCCATGCGCCGCCGCCGACTTCACGCGCCGCCGCCGACCTCACGTGCCGCCGCCGAACTTACGCGCCGCACAGATCCATCGTGCCATCGCCGTCGACGCCGCCCGGTCCGCCTACCGCCTCTGCCACTGTTTTGTTACGCCTGTCCACCACTCCCAAGGTCAGCTTTTCTTAATTTTTAGTTGTTGCGCAATCCCTGCCTACTGTTCCTCAATTCCGCTGCTGCCTTGGAAAGTTACTGCTGCACTGCGTTATTAACTAGTTACTGGTGCACTATTTGATGTTTAATTGCTTTTTCACTACTTCATAGATTTAAATTTTTGTGTTATCTTAAAAAAAAGAAAAAAAAAACAGTACAAAAAAAAACAAAAAAAAAACAAAAAGAGAGAGATACAAAAAAATGTCTTTTATGAGAGCTGACGGTGGAAACAACACAGGATTCTCGAGGCGAAACCGTCCTAAATGTGATTTTTGTCATAACATTGGTCATACTAAAGATAGGTGTTGGAAATTATATGGGAGACCTCCTCCCTCAGCCCACGTTGCTCAGCTACCGCCATCTCCCATTGTTTTATCACCGGAAGAATATGCAGCATATCAGCAATTTAAGTTGACTAATATGCCTTTATCCACACTCGGGTTGTCTACTGCTTATGTTTCACACACAATAGGCTCATGGATCATTGACTCAGGTGCCTCAGACCATATTTATGGTAATCCCCATCTTTTATCCCATATTTCCAAGCACCAAAATCTTCCTTTGATTACTCTTGCTAATGGCCTTCAAACTTCAGCTTCAGGTATTGGACAAGCTCTTCCACTTTCATCCTTCCCAGTAGATTCAGTCTTATATGTCCCAAACACCCCTTTTAACCTTCTCTCTGTCAGTAAAATCACACGTGCTCTTAATTGTTCTGTAACATTTTCTGCTGATTCTGTGATTGTGCAGGACCATTGTACGGGAAAACGATTGGCGTCGGACATGAATCTCAAGGTCTATATCATCTCCTTCCTCTTGATCCAATCGCTTGTGTTTCAGTTGAACCTGCTATTACCTTACATAACCGTCTGGGTCATCCTAGTCTCTCAAAGTTTCAACGTATGGTTCCAGGTTTCTCAAATCTTTCATCTTTAGATTGTGAGTCATATCACCTTGGAAAACAACCTCGTAAATCCTTTCAAAGGCGACTCAATAAACGGGCTACATCACCGTTTGATTTAGTTCATACAGATGTATGGGGTCCGTATCGCGTCACTTCTACTTTAGGTTTCCGTTATTTTGTTATTTTTGTGGATGATTTTTCCCGTTACACATGGTTGTTTTTAATGAAAGAGCGTTTTGAATTGTTTCATATTTTTCAAACTTTTTGTGTTGAAATTCAAACTCAGTTTGGTCATTCTATCAAAATTTTACGCAGTGACAATGCTAAAGAATTTTTTGGGGCATCCTTTAATCAATTCATGACATCACGAGGTATGCTTCACCAATCTTCTTGTGTTCACACGCCTCAACAAAATGGGGTTGCTGAACGTAAGAACCAACACTTGGTTGATACTGCTCGTACCCTATTATTACATTCCCATACACCACCTCAGTATTGGGCAGTGAGCACGTGTCACTTAATAAATAGAATGCCTTCCTCAGTTCTTAATAATGAAATTCCATATTCTATTTTGTTTCCCGACCGTGATTTATTTCCATTACCACCTCATGTGTTTGGGTGTGTGTGTTTTGTCCATGATACGACCCCTGGATTAGCTAAAATGTCGGCTAGGTCAATAAAGTGTATCTTTCTTGGATATTCGCGTCTCCAAAAAGGTTATCGTTGTTATTCTCCATTACTTAAGAAACATTTTATTTCAGCCGATGTCACTTTCATTGAGTCGTCCTTTTATTATCCATTATCTTCAGTTGATACCCCATCATGTTTGGACCTCACCTCATATCTCCGACCCATCCATCTGGAGACTCCCATTCACCCCATCTGATGGGCACAAAAATTGCTCTCCTTTGGTAGACCGCTCATATAAGTATACCATCGACGGCCTCGGCTTCCTCCCATTGTGCCTACTGTGGCCACGCCGATTGATTCCCCTACGACGGATCCCGTATGTTCACCATCAGCTACCCCAGCACCCGAAAATACTCAGGATAATTTGCCCATTGCCCTCCGAAAAGGTACGCGTTCTACTTTGAACCCACATCCCATATATAACTTTTTGAGTTATCACCGCATCTCTACTTTGAACCCACACGTGAGACCCTGTACAACCCGGAGTGGCGTAAAGCCATGTTAGCTGAGATGGAGGCACTTCATTCTAGTGGCACATGGGACCTAGTCCCACTTCCCACTGGCAAACAGTGGTTGGGTGTCGGTGGATTTACACGGTTAAAGTTGGGCCTGATGGGAAGATTGATCGTTTTAAAGCACGCCTTGTGGCGAAAGGGTATACTCAGATATATGGTTTGGATTACACCGACACTTTTTCTCCTGTAGCGAAGATTGCATCAGTTCGTTTGGTTTTATCCATGGCAGCAATGAGCCACTGGCCATTGTTCCAATTGTATCAGAGCAGTCGATCGCTGAGATACCCACGCGTGAAAATGGAGGGACGACTCACTGAAGTGGAGAGGAATCAGCGTGAAATGCAAGCTAGGATGGCGAATATTGCGGCTAATATGGCCGTGATGCAAGCGGCGATGCAAGCTAGCATCACAAAATTGAAGGTCAGAATTTCGAGGAGTCATTCACATCGATCAAGTACTGCGCACCATGGACACGCAAGAAATTGCGATCATGGAGAGAGTGGTAACATCGCATGTCGAGCGGGGAACCCTAGAAATTGTTTGTCGCAGTCGCTCACCAAATCGCTTAAGGAGTCGTGAACTGTTTCTTTTTTTTTCGCACTCACAGAAGGCTTCGCGCGGAAAAATGGGGAATATCGCGGAAAAGAGGGAGCGCGGAAGTTCGCAGACTGAATCGCGAACTTTTTCTCATATTTCGCAATCGCGAACAGATTCTTACCAGTCGCAGAATTCTTCACCGGTTATGAGTTCACGACCAAGAAAGGCGTGATTGAGTGAAGAATCTCCATCTTCATCGCCAATAGATTCACACTGTTCGCTTTCTTCGCCTCAAGCATTTCCTCTGAGTTCGCAAGCAATTTCGTCCTTTGGCTTTGACTAGAGCCGACAAACCCAACTCGAAATCTCTATCTGAATTTCCAGAATCGCAGCAGAAGTTGATTATTCAGCAGCACACCTATGGAGAAGAGGAATGCAAAGATAAACCATCAGTTAATCTTGAACCAGAAGGAGCAGTTGTTGGATTTTTCAGACGTTAAATGTTTTTCAAGTACGATCTTAACGAGTCAGACCTTGAAACCAATAGGTTCAAGCTTCTCCAGGTATGCAAAATTTCTTCTCATCTTGCACAAAAGAAGAACTGGCCAAATATCTTCTAGACTGAAAGGATGTATAGCCAGTCATCAAACATTGTGTTGGAAGGATTGAACAACGTTTCTATTGGGGTAGTGATTTCACATGGAGGTCCTCTAAATTGGATGGAGGGTGTGAGCGGAGGAAGGCTTGCTATTGATGATAAAGGGGCTGAAACAGCAGTGCCTAATCAGAAATTGACTGATGAGAAACACTTTTTCACTATGTTTCAAGCAATTTTGAAACCCAAAATTGAAGAGGGACTTTCTACCCATTATAATTCAAGGGATCATCAATACTATTTCCCAGTTGTTTCCTTTGTTATTGTGAATCTGAATGGGAGGGATCCAAGTACCCTTAACTCCCCTACCAACTTGTGGGTTGGCCTTTTGACCGGGGCACTCAGAATTACAGATTCAGAACATAGAAATCATGAGGAGCTGCAGAAAAGTGAAGAAATAATTTTGGATATGGAGGACGGGAAGGAGATTGAACCAAATGAAGATTCACTTTTTGAGGCTGAAAGTTCTGTGATTTTAAAAGATCCCGTACTGAAGTCCCTCGTCCATCAACCAGTTAGATATTGCGAAGGAAGAGGAACAAGGAAGAGGAAGATGAAGCAGAAGATTTTGGCTGTTTCCTATCACCCACCTTGAGGGCAAGGTGGATGTTTAGGGGGGAGTATTGACAGGAATGCAGCTGAAATAAACAAAGAGAATAAATACCTAGATAATACAATACTTGGTAAATAAAATAGTCGGTGGATAGTTAGTTCGGTTATTGCTATTAACTAATTCGGTTGTACTGAATAGCTATAAATAGAAGAAGGCTAGAAGTAGGAGGAGGTTGGTTTTAGACGTTTGTCTTGTATCGGGAAGTTAGAGACTAATCCTCTCTCTCTTTGGGGGCTTCAGCCATTGTTTCTTGTTCTTGATCAATAAAGTGTGAAGTAGTTTCTTGATTTAATTTCTGTAATTTTCAATATTCCTAGATTGTTCTATCAGGATAGCCTGTTCTTCAAGCCTTCAAGTGCAACACCAGAGCCACTGTGTCATTCACAAGGGTTTGTCGCTGGCAGCTTCAACTCTTCAATCGTTCAAGTCTGACGCACAGACTGTATGACTTTGTTCCAGTCGACTGAGGAGAGGGGAGTCGCAACTCTTCAAGCCTTCGTTTTTGAGTGGAGACCAGGGAGTCGCGCAGAAGGATTGCGGACGACGTTCGTTTGCGGATAGAGTACGGCAGACATGAGTAATGGTATTTTTAAAATTTAGAAACGTTTCTGGGACGGAAACTTGAAGGAGATAGGCGTTTCCGTGCTTCCTAGGTCTTGACATCCAGCTGCTCTAGATGCAAGTCTTCAGCGGCCAATATGCTCAAGACTGATCTGATCGTTGTCATCTTCACAAATGGGGAGAAAATCTCAATATAATCCACTTCTTTCTTTTGTTGGAAACCTTTGACAACCAATCAAGACTTGTACCTCTTGCTGCCGTCAAACTCATCTTTGACCCTGAATACCCATTTATTCCACAAAGCCTTCTTTCCTGTGGGTAATCCGACCAATTTCCAAGTCCGGTTCTTTTCAAGTGAGCTCATTTCTTCATTCATAGCTTGCTCCCACTGTACGGATTCTTTCATCTTCAAAGCTTCTGAATAGCATTCTGGTTCATCATTTTCATTGAATAGCAAATAATTTGCCGAGGGGGAGAAATTCTGAGGACGTGTAGAAACTCTGGTGGATCTTCTAACCCATGTTGTTGGAGTTTCATTATCAATAGTCTAAGAATTTGAACTCTCAATATCCTTTGTGTTCCCACTGATTCCTGATCCCCGTTCTCATCTGAGCTCCCACTATTCCCTGAACTTTGACCAATTTCCGAAGCACTGACAGGTTTCACAATGTCTTCTTCTGAGATCTCATCAAACACCACTTGATCCTTTCTTTGTGACATCTTGCTTTGGTTGGGGCTGTTGCAAGATCATCTTTGTACAACGCATTCTCATTGAATGTCACATCTCTGCATCTAATAACCTTTTTGTTGTGATCATCCCAGAAGCGATAACCCATGTCATCCAAAACAGTAGCCTATAAAGATGTACTTCTTCGCCTTTGCCTCGAGCTTGTCTCTGTCTGCATCCTGACATAGGAGACACAACCAAATCAAAAGAATTGACACTTTCCTTTTTGTGGAAAAGCTAATTCTTCAGACCACTTTATTGAACAAATCAAAGCATTCACACAGAATTGGGCTTCTAGTTTTAACCGGCTGAAGCTCAAAAGAATTGACACTTCTTTTTGAGGAAAAGCTAATTCCTCCAAATTTTTGACTATCTGGCTCAAATCTAAGGATCGTTAAGTGGATTAAGCCTACAACTTTGAAATTAAACACTGATGCATCTTTCTCACCTCAGGGGGCGTTCAGTGGTGCGATTATGAGGAACCAGGTTGGCGCTCTTGTTTTTGCTATCTCTTTCCCTTTGCAAGCTGATTCGGTTATGGATGCGGGAATCAAGTCCCTGGTTTTTTCCACTAGTTGGTCCATGGAGGCTGGGTTTAACGATTTTTAGGTGGAAGTTGACTCTGAGGAAGCTCTGAAGTATATCGATGCGGATCAGCCAGGGGGATGGAAGGTCATCGTTCAGGCAATGCTGCTGGAATCAAATAGGAAATCAATCTCTTTCAGGCATATTTGGCGTGAAGCTAATTGGACCGCAAATAACCTGGCCCGTCTTAATGAGGAACGTTTATTAATCTTTAACCGGGCCACAGATCTTTCGAGCTCAAGCTCAGTCAGAAAGGCTTATTATATGGATAAGTTTGAAATCCCTTCTTTCAGGATGCAACTCTTATTGGGTTTCTTTGTTGTAACTTGTAACCCATTGTTTTTTATTAATGTTTTTATTTTTAGTGGAAGGTTTTGGCTTCGCCCCCTTCTACTATGCATAACTTGGTTTCTTTTTTAATAAAATTCGATAAATGTTCCCCAACATTTACCCCACTGATTTTGATGGTTTGTCTTCCGGGTTTAAAAAAAAGGAGACACAACCAAATACTTTCAAGTGAGTAAGTGATACTTCTCGACCTCACCATTCTTCTTCAGGAATCTTGAACCTATTGTAACACTTGAGATTTAATTTAAACGGATTAATAGTATTACTCATACCAACAGGGTGCATCTCCTTTTAAGGGAGCTCATCAACTAAGAACTTCAAAGTTAAGCGTGTTTGGACGGGAGTAATCTTGGGATGGGTGGCCCCCTGGGAAGTTTCTCAGGGCACACACGAGTGAGGACAAAGTGCGCGGAGAAGGCTAGTGGCGGTTTGTGAGGACAGTACTAGAGGTCTGGAGTAACTACCCCGGGTCCTGTGTGGCCGGGGTGTTACACCTATAGGAACTGAGGGTCCATGATTGATTAAGTATGCTGCCGTGTTGACAGAATCTGCCCCGAACATCTTTGGTAGACCTACATGTAACCTCATGCTCTTTGCTCTTTCACAAAAGGTTGTGTTCATCCTTTCGGCGACCCCATTTTGTTGGGGTGTTTCTGGAACTGTTTTCTTCCGTTCTCGGCACAATAATAAAAAAAATCTCTACTGCTGTACTCACCCCCATTATCTTACTTTAAACACTTAGGGCCTGTTTACTAACAGAGATATTTTCCAGATTTTTAGAAAACTGGAAAAAGGAAAACAGAAAATGTGTTTACCAAAGAAAATTACTGGAAAACCGGAGAAAAGAAAACAGAAAACTGTGTTTACCAAATCGTTTTCTGTAGGTTTGAAGAATTAATCTTCCTTGAATGTTATTGAGCCATCCGGCAATGATATATATACAAGTTACAGATAAAGCCTAGTTGTTACAGATCCTAAATAATAGGATCTATCTATTCTGTGAGCTTATCTACTAGTTAAAGAGTTCTATCTACTCTAAGTCTTATCTATACAGTTCCGGATGTACATAAAATTAAAATAACAAATACATGTTACATTTTTCTACACCCCTCTCAAGTTGGTAAGTATATATCATACATTCCCAACTTGCTTATAAGTAGTTCAAATACTGGTTTGAAAAGCCCCTTTGTAAAGATATCAGCTGTTTGTTCTTTGGTAGATATGAATGGTGTACACATAATTCCAGCTTCAATCTTCTCTTTGATAAAATGTCTGTCCACTTCAATATGTTTAGTACGATCATGTAGCACTGGGTTGTGAGCAATATTAATGGCTGCCTTATTATCACAATATAACTTCATAGGTAGTTCCAATTTCATATTCAACTCTGAAATCACTCTTGATCCAAAGTAGTTCACAGATTCCATTAGCCATAGATTTGAATTCAGATTCTGCACTACTTCTATCAACCACATTCTGCTTCTTACTCCTCCAAGTCACTAGATTCCCCCATACATAAGTACAATACCCAGATGTAGATCTTCTATCAGTTATTGAGCCAGCATAATCTGCATCTGTAAAGGCTTCCACACTTCTATTGTCACCTTTTTTAAAAAACAATCCTTTCTCTGGACAACTTTTCAAATACCTTAGGATTCTGTAGGTAGCATCTAGATGTTCCTGGAATGGATTATGCATGAATTGGCTAACCATACTAACTGCAAAGGCAATATCTGGCCTTGTATGTGCCAGATAAATCAATCTTCCCACCAATCTTTGATATTGTTGAACATTAACTGGTACTCCTTCTTTGATATCTCCTAACTTTTGATTAGGATCAATTGGAGTATCTATTGGTCTGCAGGCACTCATACCGGTTTCATGAAGAAGGTCTAGTACATACTTCCTCTGAGATACCACAATTCCCTTCTTTGATCTGGCTATCTCCATGCCAAGAAAGTACTTCAATTCTCCTAGGTCTTTGATCTCAAATTCCTGAGCCAGCTTCTCCAGCTTCTTCTTCAGGGCTTCAATTTCTTTATAATAGTCTCCTGTAAGAATGATATCATCCACATAAACAATTAACACTGCAATCTCTCCCTTACTTGAGAACTTCATGAATAGTGTATGATCTGTTTGGGCTTGCTTGAATCCCTGCCTCTTTATGAATTGAGTAAACCTGTCAAACCAAGCCCTTGGGACTGTTTAAGTCCATATAAGGCTTTCTCCAGCTTGCACATCTTTGAGCCATACTGTCCCTCAAACCCAGGAGGGGGACTCATGTATACTTCCTCTTCAAGCTTCCCATTTAAGAAAGCATTCTTCACATCTAACTGTTGAAGAGGCCAGTCTAGGTTAGCAGCTAGAGATAAAAGGATCCTTATAGTATTTAATTTTGCAACTGAAGCAAAAGTTTCTGTATAATCTATGCCATAGGTTTGTGTATATCCTTTGGCAACCAATCTGGCCTTATATCTTTCAAGTGTACCATCTGCCTTGAATTTAGGGTTAAATACCCATTTGCATCCCACTGTTTGTTTGTTCTTGGGTAATTCCACAACCTGCCATGTCTGATTCTTTTCAAGAGCATTCATTTCCTCTAAAACAGCCTTCTTCCACTAAGGTTTAGATAGAGCTTCCTGTATGGTTAAGGGAATAGAAACAGTGGAAAGGCTAGAGGTAAAGGCTGCAAATGATGCAGATAACTGAGAATAAGACACATAGTTTGAGATAGGGTATTTAACACATGATCTTTTTTCTTTTCTGAGAGCAATGGGTAGATTTAGATCACTGGAATTATTACCTTTGTCATTTTCTGACATTGAGTCAGATTCATGAGCAATGGCAGGATCAGAGATGTCCTCTATTCTTTGATTTGGAACTCTCCTTTCATAAACCTTGCCAAAAAATTTACTTGTCTACTGTTCATCATCTTTCCTTGTCTCAGAAAATTTTATTTCATTTTCTTTTGATTCTTGACTATTTTCTAGTGCATCTAACTGTCTATTATATTGTGCATCTAGACTAATGTCAAGAAATTCAAGTTTTTCATGGATATGTGACACATTATTACCATCTTCATTAGGAATCTCCCCCTGAAGATGAGTACTAAAAAAGGTTGATTTTCAACAAAAACAGTGTTCATTGTTACACACATTTTTTTTGCAGTAGGGTCAAAACATTTATAGCCTTTCTGTGTTGAAGATAGTCCTAAGAAAACACATTTTTTGCCTCTAGGATCAAATTTGCTTGCAGTTTTGTCAGGGTTGGTAATAAAAACTGTGCAGCCAAAAATTTTTATGGGAAGAGAGTTGATAAGCCTAGTTTCAGGAAAACTGGCTTGAAGTGTATCCATGGGAGTTTTAAATCCTAGAGTCTTTGATGGCATCCTATTAATTAAATAGGTAGCATGTAAAACAGCTTCTCCCCATAAATATTTTGGAACTCCAGCAGAAAACATAATTGCACGAGTGACTTCAATCAAATGCCTATTTTCCCTCTCATCTATTCCATTCTGAGCAGGTGTATTTATACAGGAACTTTGATGAATAATCCCCTTTTCAGCAAAAAAATTATTTAAATTCTTAGAAAAATACTCAAGGCCATTATCACTTCTCACAATCTTGATATTAGTATTGAATTGAGTCTGAACCATTGAGTAAAATTTCTTGAACACATCTTCAACCTCAGATTTTTCTTTAATAAAAAAACCCATGTGACCCGTGTGTGATCATCTATGATAGTTACAAACCACCTTTTTCCTTTCAAAGTTGAAACTCTAGATGCACCCCAAATATCACTGTGTACAATAGTAAAAGGACTAGTTGGTTTGTAACTATGAGGGATATAAGAGCTCCTATGATGTTTGGCAAGTGCACACATATCACAATGAAATGATGAAGGATTTTTATTATGAAATAACTTAGGAAACAACCTCTTTAGATAGGAAAAACTTGGGTGACCTAATCTATAGTGCATTAAATACAGTTCATTATTACAAGGAAAGGAAATAGTTTGCAGACAAGTTTTTTCTTGACCTTGTTTATTCAATTGTGTTCCTTAATAAAAAACATATAGGCCATCCTCCTCTCTAGCACTGCCAATCATCCTCCCCGATGCCAGATCCTGAAAAATGCAATAAGAAGGATAAAACTTTACACAACACTGAAGGTCTTTGGTTATTTTGCTAATAGAGATAAGATTGCAGGAAAGTTTAGGAACATGTAAGACTTTAGAAAGGTTAATGGATGATGAAATTTTAATATTTTCCATCCCTGTTATGGCTGAAAAAGAGCCATCTGCAACTCTAACTTTCTTATCTCCTGCACAAGGTTGATATGAAAAAAAGAGATTTGGAATGTAGGTCATATGGTCTGTTGCACCTGAGTCAATGACCCAGGTGCTTTTTGGTTTTTCAGAACAAAAAAATGATGTTATTTTACCATTTTGGGCAAAAGAACATGAAGGGTTTTCTTGGTTGGAGATTTTCTGGGTGGGTATAAATTGGAGTAGGTACTCTATCTGTTCCTGTGTGATTCAACTCCTGACTCTTGTTGAGTCTCAGTCACAATAGTTTGTAGGGCCCTTTCAACTTTCTTCTTTCTAGCTCCTGGTGGTTTTCCATGAAGTTTTCAGCATGTTTCCCTTGTGTGCCACAATTTCTTGCAGTGATCACACCAAGGTTTTTTCTTGTCATCACTTCTGGCCACTAAAGCTGAAGAGTCCTCAGGTTCCTCATTAGGCACTAGAGTGTTGTACATGACCCTCCTCCTGCTATCTTCCAACCTGATCTCAGAAAAGACCTCTCTGATTGGGGCCAGAAGTTTCTTTCCCAGTATTCTGCCTTTTACTTCATCTAGGTCTCTATTGATCCCTGCTAGAAACATATAGACCCTATCATTCTCTTCTCTTTTCTTATGTCTGGCCAAATCCTTAGCACTCTCCCACTCTTCATCACCATAGCATTGATCTAATTCTTACCACAGAGATACCATTTCATTGTAATATGAAATGATATCCCTATTTCCTTGTTTAAATTGCCACAGCTTGGTTTTGAGTTCAAAAATTTGAGAAGAGTTCTCAAGATCTGAATAAGTTTCCTTAATAGAGTCCCATACCTCCTTTGCAGTTTTCATAAACATATGAGGTTTGGCAATTAAGGGCTCCATGGAGTTGAGAAACCAAGCTGTTATGAGTGAATTCTCTGACCTCCATGTACTGTAACCTTCTTCTGCAGGTAGTTTTGGTTTGATTTCTCCTGTGATGTAACCTAGCTTTCCCCTCCCATCAATTGCAAGTCTGACAGATTGAGACCATTCCAGATAGTTTGTTCCATTCAATCTATGACTAGTGATTATCATAGATGAATGAATAGGAGACTGGTAATTTGTCATAGGGCTAATTTGGGAGTTAGGGTTGATAGTGTGTGAGGAATCAACATCACTGGTTTCTACCATTGTGTTGTTTAAACCGAGGCTCTGATACCATGTAGGTTTGAAGAATTAATCTTCCTTGAATGTTATTGAGCCATCCGGCAATGATATATATACAAGTTACAGATAAAGCCTAATTGTTACGGATCCTAAATAATAGGATCTATCTATTCTGTGAGCTTATCTACTAGTTAAAGAGTTCTATCTACTCTAAGTCTTATCTATACAGTTCCGGATGTACATAAAATTAAAATAACAAATACATGTTACATTTTTCTACATTTTCAAAAATGAAAAAAATGAGATATGTCTCTCTTTTCTATAATGAATTGGAGACGCGACTTTTAGTAGTTTTCTAAATTTGGAAAACGCGGATGATGCAGAACCGCTGCAATGAATTTGCATACTTACACCTAGTGGTGCATCCGCTCTCGCTCTGGTGTCAGTTCTAATCCGGTCCACGACCCGACGATCCCTATCTTGTCCGATTGATGACCCAGCGTTCACTGTCCTGTCCGATCGATGACCCAACGGTCCTTATCCGGTCCGATTCATGACTAAGCGGTCCTTGGCCAGTCCCGTCAACGACTCAACGATCCCTGTCTGGGCCGGTCAATGACCCGGCGGTTCAGTCTCGGTTATTAGAAATCACTTTTTAAAGTGAAGAGTTTTAAAAGAATTGTTGAGTTGTCAACCAATAGGGAAATGAGAAAAAAAATCTTCAAACTAACCGTTGAGATCGACCGAGCCCGACCGGTTTCAGTCCCGACTTTCCTATACGTGGGACCTGGTACCCTACTTGGGTTGTACTAGGTTTGATTTCGGAATGGGACCGTACTTTCAGTCTTCTGGAACCGGGTGAAAAAATTTGATGAACATGTTTTCAAATTTGAAAATGGAAAACTAAAAAATGAAAACAGAAAACTGGAGAAAGAAAATTGGGAAATGAAAACAGAAAATTGGAGAACGGAAAACAGAAATAGAAAACTGGAAAATATGTCCTTAACTTTTAAACCAGTTTCATTTTCAATAGCAACCTTTCACCTTTTTAAAGATAACAAATACATCAGATTTATGTTTGAGAAAATAAACCCATATCTTTCTGGTGGAGTCGTCAATGAAGGTGACGTAGTATCTCGATCCACCTATTGAAGCTACAGATACGGGCCCATAGACATCTGAGTGAACTAGCTCCAACTTCTGAGTCTTCTTTGTCGTTCCTGATTTTGAAAAAGTGACCTTTTTCTGCTCACCGTAGACATACGGCTCACAGAAACCAACTGCCACATTCTTCAGGTTTGGAATCTTTCCTTTTAAAGCTATCATTTTCATTCCTTTCTCAATCATGTGCCCAAGTCTGTGATGCCGCATATTAGAATCATCCACAGCTACATTTATTCCATCTGCCGGTACTTCCATCATGTATAAACCAGACTGCCCTTAACCACTTTCCACTGGCCATTCCCAAAGACAACGTGATAACCTTGATCATCCAACTGCCCAACTGAAATTAACATTCTTTTGAGTCCTGGAATATATCTCACATCCTTCAACATCCAATTTGTGCCAAGGGACGTTTTGAGAATCACATCTCCCATGCCCGTGATATTTAAGGTTTCATCATCTGCAACTCAGACTTTACCGAAACTACCAGACCTGAATCCATGATCCATGATTCGATAGCACTGTCGACACAGCAAATTAGTGCATCATCTGAACTTTCAGCTGCAACGTTTGCATCCTGCCCACCTTTCTTATTGCCCGCCGGACACTGATTTCTAAAGTGACCGGTTTCTTTGCAATTCCAGCACATGATGTCCTTCCCGGTCTATGGCTACCCTCTTTTTCTGGATTTCGATCTACCTCTCCCTTTACTATACCCTCTGTCCTTTTTCCTGCTCCTGCCTTCAGTGCTTAACAAAGAACTGGAAGATTCACCTGAATTTCTCCTACGGATATCTTCTCCCAGAATGAGATCTCGAATCCCATTGAACGTAAGCTGTGACCGTTCCTGACCAACTCTCGGGCAATGAAGATAATAATAGCAACGCTTGTACCTCATCATCGAATGCAATCTCAACAGACACTAACCTCGTCAATATTGAATTGAATTCGTTCACATGATCTGTAACTGATGCTCCTTCCTTAATCTTTTATTCACTAGTTGTCTAATTCGAAAAACCTTATTCGACGCACTAGGTTTTTCGTACATGTTGGACCATGCTGTGAGTAATCCGTGAGTAGTTTTTTCATTGACAATGTTGTACACAACGTTCTTTGCCAATGATAACCTAACCACACCCAATGCTTGACGGTCAAGCAAATCCCATTCGGCTTGAGGCATCTCTGTGGCTTTAATACCAGACAAGGGTTCATGTAGCTTCTTCTGGTATAGCTGTATAGGTAGTCCTCGATTTGCATCTTCCAGAAACCGAAGTCAAGGCCTTCAAACTTGTCTATTCTGACCTTACCATCTTCTGCCATCACTGAACAACAGTTTCACGACGATCGGCGCAGGTGCAGCTTCTGGGATGGGACGGCTAGGGTTTCTGCAGTTAGGGTTTCTGCTAGAGTGTAACCAAACGAGCCTGGTCTCTGATACCGGTTGTTAGGGTTAGGATCTCTAACGCTCACACACACATATCTGAAAAACTAGAAAGAAAAACGAGAAGAACGGCACAAGAATTTAACGTGGTTCAGCCAGTAAATGTTACTGACCTAATCCACGGGGGCAACTAGGGTTTTCTTTCTTATTGAGGTGATGAAATACAGTACAGTGGTTTACAAGTACAGGAGGCAGTATATATAGGCAAGCAATCAGGGTAAACTTTAAATTTAACTTTGGGCCTGACTGCCACCAAAAAACAGGCCCAACTAGCGCTGGCTGCACATCTAGCTATGGCCGGCTGCACATCTAGCTATGGCCGGCTGCACTTCTAGCTAGGGCCGGCTGCTGCTCACTGCTTATTTGGCACCCAGATCTGAGTGGGCCGAAGCCTACACCCCAACAAGTAACTGGCTTGTAAGTGAATGGATAAAATTAATATAAAATGATATGTTCATGAGCTGTACAAACGAGCATTTTTTTGGGCTCTGTCTCTCTTATCTTTATTAAAAAGCTCCATAGTGAGCTAAGTAGTTAATATATTAGTAATATATTAGTATTATATGAATAAAATAATAATCCTAATAATGAAGTGGAAACAAATTCCAACAATCATAGACATTCTAACTTCCAATAAAAAAAATCACGTAATAATACTTGATTCTGAACTTTTATCTTAAAGACCTAAACTAATCTTATTGAGTTTAGGGTCATCATTTTCTTCTTCATCCTCCATGTCCTCAATTCTAAATTGACTTGGTAATCTTATTTTTGCAATTTTAAAATACCTACTAATTATTCATAAATTCCATAATATCCCAGTTTAGTTTAAACTTTTCAGATTTAACGCCCAAAAAATAATTTTTACTGGCTGCCAAGTAACTCAGCGAGCCAACCTTGTCACCATGTAGTGAAAATCGCCGGGTACCGGACGAGTTACTTGGAAAGATGGAACAGTGTGACTCAGAGTACTATTCGGTAAGGCCCTACCCCGAGATGCAAGTTCTCGGCTAGTACTCGGCGATTAGATAACATAGACAGTGAGGTTTTTTTATGTTCAATTAACTAATCTTATAACTCAAACAAACACCAAATGAGCTTGAACCCTATTTATTCACAGAACACTGTATTCATTTACTGCCCTAGATCTATGAAGTAATGTGATTGTTATTTAGGAGTAGGGTCTTTATTGACATTAGCTAAACTTATTATTATATATACTATAGGCCATAGTTGTCATGGCGTATGAAGACAGTCATGGAGCTAAGACATTTGTCCATGGCGATAGCTATGGCGCATTATGGCGTCACCACATGACACAGAAAATATTTACCAAAACTATAAACTATAGACACTATAAATCTATGATTCGTTCACCAAAAAATGAACAAAGCAGTTGAATACCCACATTTTAACAATCTAACTAAATCACACAAAGTAAAAATAGTTAAAGTAGTTCTAAAAATTAATGTAATATTAAAAAAAGTTTCATGTCATCCAAAATATGTCAACTTGTTTTTTGTTTGATATCATCAATTATCATCGGGAAAATGCCCTAAAATTGAGTAAACATGTTTTGGAATTCCAAAATAAGATTGCTATGTTTTTCTTCCGGAAATAAAAGTAGTTACTATCATGATTGAAAAATACTACGATGTTAATGTCTAGTACTACAACTATTTTTGCAGTAATGACTCCAAGATGGCATTAAATACTGTCATGTTACTCCTTTTCGGGAAGAAAAACATAGCAGTTCTATTTTGGAATTCCAAAACTAGTTTACTCCTATTTCAGGAACTTTTCCATTATCCTCTTTCATTTCACTCATAGAAGGATCTTCAATCTCATTCGTCTCATCTTCAACTTGCAGCCGATGTATTGTTGTTGCTCAAGTGTTGTGAGTTGCTTCATTAACACCAACTGCTTCTTCCACTACATCCCAATTTTCAATTTCATTTTGCTTGGCTGTGTCATCAATCCATTGATTGTAATGCTCAATATTATCTAAAGATATTTTCATTTTTCTGAACGCTTGATCTTGAAGACATTGATTCTTCCAAATGCTTACCAGATCATTCATTTTTTGGCAACAGTCTTATCCTTTCCTTGCTTTGAACCTAATATGGGTAGATACTAAATTAATTACTCTTCACATACCTTTTGCCATTTCATGGAGTCGGTATGGCGCCACCACATGTATAGTCTTCGCCAAAAGGGTTTTTTGTGGCGAGGGGGCTTTGGTATTGCCATATGGCGCATGTGGGGTGAGTCATATTCTACCATCGACAAGTAAGCTATAGACTTGTTGTATGGGTTCTTTAGTCTATAATCAGCGATTCTGCTAAAAAATCAGGTTTGCCAGATTAATCTCTAGTTTGACTATATTGTTTGCAAATTGCAAATATTAGTGATCCAGTGCAGTGTAATTAGATTTGTATGTTTCGTACAGAACGATGCAAGATTTACCTAAACAGTGCAAATTGAATGGATGAATAAACAATTGCTGTAAATCATTGTCGTGTCGTAGTGTATTGCACTGAATCTTAGGAATTGTGATTCAAAAAGTGCATGTTACTATCAAGATTTCCAGTGTGTTAGGCCAAGTATTAAAAAGCCTTTCAGGGTTTTACTTTGGCTCAACTTTTCTGAGAATAAAATATCTGATGACTCTTCGTTTACCTCAGGGCTCAGGCTGTATAAAGAGACTTTATTATTCTTCTTAAACCTAAACCTTGCATTTAATTCAGTCTCTCTCTCTGTGCCTCTCAATATTAGATTTTTCATCTTCCATTCTACATACCTTCTTCACTTTTTCTATCATTGTAATGGGTAATCCAAAGCAAAAATACTGTGTAGAAGATATAGCATGGCAACACTGTATAAGCGTTAAACAACACATATTCTTTGAGTTTTAGTGAAATACAACTACTATTCTCATACTTGTTGGGGTGTTGTTGCGAGAATGAAGCATCAGTTTGCTGAGTATTTTGCATTATAATTTATATTATCTAGGTGATATGCAGTCAGTCTTACCACACTAATAGTGAACTGATGTACAAAAATGATGTTTTTGCTATTTTTAATTTTGATGTATCGCCTAGAATGGCAAACATTTTGATTATTGAATGTCATATATTATATGAAATTATGTTGTTTACTTATGCTACTTGTTTTTAATGAGATATACTATATTTTTATTAGTTGTGTATCTTACAGTACTATTTGTGATTCGAAAAATGGGCCTTGCAACTTATAACTTGAATCCCAATTTGATAAACCTCAACCAGATCTTTTTTTGTTTTGCAGATGGGATGTTTGCTGAATGGTTGCCTTCATTTCAGTTTAGTATTAAATTTTCCAAGAAAAAGACAGTCCCATTAGATTTTTTTTTTTACTTTAGCTTGCTCATACAGCTTGCGTAGACCATATTACCGTTATTACTCTGTAGCTTCACACAAAAACATTGTTAATACTCACTTGGAAACCTCACAAGTGTTCCATATTACTAAATATTTGGAATTTTATCAGGCGAGGGCACTTATTGAATGGCATGGTGTATCACGGTTTTGTGGGGTTTGTGGAAGTCGGAATGTTCCTACAGATGCTGGGAAAAGGAAGCAGTGCTCAAACGCGTTGTGCAAGAAAAAAGTCTATCCCCGAGTTGATCCGGTACTGCAGATGCCATTACTTTATTTTCGTAGGTTTCTTTTGCCCAATGAGCTGAATATCACCAACTTATGTGGGGCTTTCTTATCACAGGTTGTCATCATGTTAGTCATAGATAAAGAAAATGACCGTGCACTACTAAGTAGGAAATCAAGATTTGTGCCCCGTATGTGGAGCTGCCTGGCTGGTTTTATGGAGGTACGTTCAGTGGCAGCTTTTAGAGAATGCCTCGGAAGTTCAGTATAACGATGAAACCATTTAGATAGCAATACGAAAACCCATCCACTGGTTTTTGTGTCTTTGTTGTTATTTCAATTTTCAACTTGACCAGAGCATTTGTCTTGCATGTGATAAGAGCCAAACAAATATCTAACAAAAATAGTAAACAAGACGTAATCAAAAGAGCAAATCCAACTTACAAACCCATCTGCATTATCCGAGAGGGGTTTAATGCACCAACCCCCTTATGATATATAAATTTGGCACATTAGCCCTTTGTGATTTAAAAAAGGAAAAGTGGACAAGAATCATCCCAACTATTAGAATCCAATTTTACATACAACTCCTTGTTCACTTTCTCACTTGCTTCCTTTACGGCTTTCTTTGCTTTTCTTTTAGCCTCATTGTACTTCTCTATGTTCTCATCGCTCCAATTTTTTGCCCAACTTTTTGTACATTCCTTTTTGGTCCTTATTACTTGTTTGACCTCATCATTCCACCAAGATGTGTCCTTTTTTGGTGGCAAACATCTTTTAGATTCTTCAAGTATCTCATTCGCCACTTTGTTAATGGCCGATTACTAGACTCCATCGGAAATCATACATCATCTACATGTGCGTCATTATTAATATACCATACATCTTCTTCCAACATTTTTGTGTGCAAAACTTTGTTAGATTCTTGTTGCTTAACCCGCCTTATCTTCTTACCTTGAAAATCAAGCACAAGCATCATATGGTGAGTGACAAAATGGGATAACCTTACAAGTAGTGTAGCTAGTCAATTTAGGTACTATTAGCTTCAATCCTATATGTCACAAGGTGAGTTTGTTTTCCTGAACCAAGTGTTCATTACAACCAACTCATATGTCAAGGAAAATTCAGAATATTCTTCCCCGCTTCATTTTAAGTGCCAAAACCATGTTTGTCATGGATACTCTCAAAACAATCACAACTTGGGCCCATATGCCTGCCTCTTATGACCAGCTTCTCTCCCCTTGGCTCATGTCACACCACTTCTTCAAGATCTTGATTTTCAAGATCTTCTTGCCTTGAAAATCAAGCACAAGCATCATATGGTGAGTGACAAAATGGGATAACCTTACAAGTAGTGTAGCTAGTCAATTTAGGTACTATTAGCTTCAATCATATATGTCACAAGGTGAGTTTGTTTTCCTGAACCAAGTGTTCATTACAACCAACTCATATGTCAAGGAAAATTCAGAATATTCTTCCCCGCTTCATTTTAAGTGCCAAAACCATGTTTGTCATGGATACTCTCAACATAATCACACGCCATAATAATGCTTACTCCATTTATGGTCTTCTCTTCTTGTATACCACCACTTAAAACCTCCATGATTAATCTCACGTGTCTTTTCTCTAACCCACTTAGTTCTTTGCACACACATAATGCTGATATTCCTCCTCCTCAGAAGCTCGACTACCTCAAATGATCTTCCCGTTAGAGAGCCAACATTCCACGTCCCAACTCCCAAAGCGCAATCTAGCACCCTGCCTTCTATTCTTTACACCACATCAACCCCCACCATGCTCTTGCATATTTGACACCATCCTCGAGCATTGGAGTGGCGCGTCGCATCCGAGCGACAACCTAGCAACCTTAGCATTTTTATCACCACATCTGAGCCTATAAAGTGTAGCGCGCCCTTGCGTATTTGACACCATCCCATACGGAGGGATGACACGTGACGTGTCGCTTACGGGCGACGACTTAGCTATAGTGACATTCATATTTCGCTTCATGTCATGCGACTAAGTGATATTGTTGGTCATCACACGCCTACCATAGCATCCTCCTTTATCCTTGTTTGGGACATGCATTATATCAAAAATGATCTCATGGTGGAGTTAAGAACCACACAAATATCTAACAAAAATAGTAAACAAGAGGTAATCAAAAGAGCAAATCCATCTACATTATTCGAGAGCTGAAAAAGAGAGGAGTACAGAATTAGGCAATTTGAGAGTGCCTTGCTCTCCAAGTTCAAACAAACTACTAACAGCTTGCCTCTCTCTCCTATTCTCTACCTTTTATTCTCTCCCTCAACAGAATTGCCACCTCAGCCAGCAATTAGTTGATCAACCCTTCCTTTAGTTATTTTTCCCCTCCGGGTGTATACTTTAGAAAAATCCCTATTGGGATTAATAGGAAAAGTATTTGGGACCCTATCAGCATGTCCCTTCATTGCCACTTTGCCAGCCATAGCATATTTATTTTATTCTTATTGCACTCGTCATTAGCCAGGGGAAAATTTAGAAGAGGCAGTGAGAAGAGAAACATTGGAGGAAACTGGTATTGAAGTTGGTGAAGTAGTTTATCATAGTTCTCAGCCTTGGCCGGGTATGCTCTACTCATCATATGTTATGAACATTGTTTTCCTTCTAAAATGGATTCCCCTGATTCATTGGATTGAAACTATTTTCCTGTAAGAGAACTGGGGAGGGAGGGTTTCAATGTTTTGTAATCCCTTTCGTCCCAAATAATTTTTTGTCTTAGCAAAACATAGAAAAAATGTCCCAAAATACTTTCTTATTAGGAGTTGATGATATGATTTCTCATTTTCTTCCCAGATTTTCCTTATTTTAAAACATTAACATAGATGATTAGTAATATAGAGGACGATCATCGGGAACCAGAACATATATTGATCAGTTTATATTGCAAAATGCTTGGCTTTTGTTATTTTAAAAACATGGAAGAGCTTCACCATGTTTAGTTGTAAAGGGACATATCTTGACAGAAGAGTTGATGGTTCCTAATCCTAATTTGATATTCCTTTCCTAATATAATCCCTCCTGAATGCTATCCTGAGTTGAGCTGCAGAAGTCATATTATATTTACTCATGGAATTGTTCTCCTTAATTAGCATAGGCTACATGCATGAACAGTTTTATCCTTGTGGTTCAAACAAGATAAGCATGGTTTGGGTGAATAACACTAAGCTTACTCCTTCCTTAGACTATACATCGTTATGCACCATATATCTCAAACCTGCACTTATTCCACTGCTTTATTGCAGTTGGACCCAGCAGTATGCCATGCCAACTAATGGTCGGATTCTTTGCATATGCTAAATCATTTGATATTGAAGTGGACAAGGAAGAATTGGAAGGTAATCTTGTTACTTTGTGCCCTCCATACGAGTTGGGTTGTTTCTTATTGAGTGAAGGTCTTTTTTATGCATCTATTTATAGATGCTCAATGGCACAGCAGAGAGGATGTGAAGAAGGCTCTGACTTATGCGGAGTACTACAAGTCCCAAAAGACAAATGCAGCAAAAGTAGATCAAATGTGCAAGGGTGTTGAGAATGAACAACAGAGCTTATCGGTGAGCTATAATGTTGAAAGTGGGGAGCTTACTCCTATGTTTGTCCCTGGGCCCTATGCGATCGCCCATCATCTCATCTCCTCCTGGGCTAATAATAAGGTTGGCAGCGGCAACGAAATGCAGCCCAATCAGCAGCAAACTGCTTCGCTTCCAAAGTTGTAGCCACTTTCTTAAACCAGAAACTCCTTGGAGCATCATAGTGTTACAACCTTACCTGTTTCAAAGCTAGTGCGGGCTGGGAGCAGATGGGGAACTGGTTAAAAACCGGACCAAATGAGTTGGACCAGCGATTTTTTCTGTTCAGTAGTAGGTTTGCACAGAATGGCGATTTTTGTGAATTTTGTCCCATCTTCCTGTCATGGTTGGGCTTCATTATTATTTAATTAGTTCACATATACACATCTCACTTTATATGAATAATAAAATCGTTAAAGTTGAAACTTAAAACACAATACAATGCCCATAACTTAGACTGCTATGATACTATTATTCTTTGTTTTCATTTTGAAGTTTGAACATGACAAATATGTATTGTTTTGTTGTTTATATGAATATTCTTTGGCACTTGTAGAGTGGTAATACTGTTATGTGTGTATGTGTGTGTGTGTGTGTGTGTGTGTGTGTGTGTGTATCTACTAAAAAATATAAGCCGCTAAGGGAGTTAGCAACTTAGCATGGCCCTTTTACCGTTGCTACAGCCCCAAATAATTCACGCCGTTTGCCGTTCTTCCGCTAGAAGTGAGCAACGATGATTTTCTCAATTCATTTTCCATTCTTTTCTCAATTTTTCGTGCTAGGATGAGAGGCTCTGCCTTCTTTCAACTGTTTCGATGTCTTCTTGCTTCCCAAGGCCTGCGTGGCACACCATGCCGCCGGTGGAGGGTCAAGGACCGGTGGCAAAGCATCCACGCTTTTTACGCTGCAGCGGTAAGGGCTTCCGTCCCCAGCCGACGCGTACACTCCTAAGCGCGCCTCTTCTCCGACTCTGATCAATTTCAAATCTAACTCCGCTGTTCAATGATTCTGACCTTCAATTCAAAATTCGCAGGGCAGATTGGGATTCACCTGGGCTAGACGACTAGGCTTAGCACTGATTTGCGATGATATGGATATTACATTAGGTTTGTTTTCATTCTTTCTCAAACGAGTTTAGTTGTTTTCATATTGTTTTCAGATTCTGCCATTACACAATCTGGAATGAATGACAGATTAAACACACACAATTAAGAATACTATTCAGGTTTGGTTTAGTTTTAGAATGATTAGTTGGAATGAATGATAAACTATACCATTGCTTTGGACTGAAATTTTTACCATTAATTTGGTTTTGTTCAATTTCAGAATAATTAATCTTCAGATTCAGCCATTAATTTGGAATGAATGACAAACTATACCATTATTTTGGACATTTTGTTTGGTTTGGTATCAGAATGATAATTTTTTTATTAGTTCCAGAATGATAAAAAAAACAATTTTAATTCCTTGTGACTAAGAACTAAGAGTACAGATGGCTCCTCATTGAAACTGTGGATTTTATGATCACTGATAAAGCCTTTCACTTTAAGAATACTATTCAGGTTTGGTTTAGTTTGAGAAAATTAGTTCGAATGAAAGACAAGCTATACCTATGCTTTGGACTGAATTTTCGGCCATTACTTTGGTTTGGTTTAATTTCAGAATGATTACTTTTCAGCTGTTTTTTTTTAACCCGGTAGGCAAACCACCAAAATCAGTGCGGCAAATGCCAGGGAACATTTGTCAGGATTTTATTAATAAAAAATAATCAACAAGAAGGAGAGGGGGACCAAACCAAAACCTCTCCAAGAGGCATACCTCTTAAAAATACAATCGCAATCAAAAAATAAATCAAGCAAATTCCGGGGGGACTAGACCTTACCCGGAATAAATCAACAATAAAAATAAACAACTAAAACAATAAAAAAACCAATTAAGTACGAAAATAGGATAACCCCATCTTATCTGCTAAAAAAGATCTGCGTACTTTTCAGCTGGTTACTATTGCTTTTGATTTGTACAACATGAAGGTCTTTATTATGGTTATTACGAATACTGGAACATGGTTTGCCAAAAACTGTCATTAAATGAGTACCTCCAAGTTTCAAACTTCAAATGTTTCCTTAACAAATCCATTTCGGGATTTTTTTATCATTCATTTGGTATACATTATGGTCCTTGAAAGAAGCTAAGACACCTTTCAATATATTTGGTGATTTGTTTATGAATCTGAAAGGCTATGATTTTTCAATGCATAATGATATGCTTAATGTATTATTTCCCTGTTGAAATCTGAAACTTCCTTCTCTTACAAACTTACAATTCAACAATTCAACTGGTGTAATTTATTGGCCAGATAAAGAAGAGGAAAATTGATGTTGGGAAGCCAGCAAAATACATGGGCTGTGGAGTGTGTGAAAACTTCAGCCACTCTACAACGGTTTCTGGATCGCCATCTCCAACTGTGAAACAAGATTAAAACAAGTTTCTATGTTTTTCTTTGTTAAAATACTGCCTTTAGCAGGGTCTTTATTTAAACTATGTTCTCATAGTTGCTATATCTTCTAATGATGTTTATCAAAGTCAATTTTATTTCACAACAAAATGGTAGATTCTGACATGTGAAGCAAGTTTTTATGATTTTTCTGTTAAAATACTCCCTTTAGCAGGATCTTTATTAATACAAGTTTCTTTGCTTTTTTGTTAAAATACTACATTTAGTAGGGACTATGCCATCAAGACTTTACCAATATTTAGAACAATAAGAGGTTACAGAGTTTTTAGGAATATTAAACATGAGTCATTTTACCATTAAAATAAACATAAAAAATTGTACTTCAAGTACTCTCTTACATTTCCTATGTGATAAGAACCACAAATTTAGGGATGATGTGTGTAAAGTAATTAAGGCAACTTTTGTGGAAAGAAGTATTATTTTGGTGCCCCTAAGGGATTTGATGAAGCTCTGGCATCTTTCATTTACCTATGCTACAGTTGAAGTTTGATAAACTTTTTATAGATTATTAGGCTGATTGCAATGGGAGGTTTTCAGCCCAAAAGAGCTGCAACCGGGAAGAAATTTCGTATAGGGAGGGAGGTCATAGGGAGTATGAAAAACCTTGGGGGCGACTCCTGGGCGGGCAATTGCCTCTGGTCTGGAGGTGACTTGCGCATTGGAGTAATGAATGGGCCCTAACCAGACCAAATGGGTTTGAGAAATTAACACCATTAAATAGTATTCTCTCTCTGGTAACGAATGAGTGACAATATGACCTTGTCGATAGCCATTCTCAAACCCATTTGGTGTTGTCACTAAATGTTGAACTCCGGCCTTGCAAGCTAAGGAAGTCTTGGCCTATCTCCCTGGTCAGAACTCGAAACCATCTCTATTTACATTGAAGTTCATGGGTAGAAATTTTGATTTTCTCGTTTCTTGTGTTACTCTGTTTTAGGTTTCACATCTGATTTCTCAATTGATATGGGAGAGTTTTGTCTGGAGAAACGACTGACCAACAGAGCATATCTTCAAGGATATGATGGAAGACGGTAAATCGATTTGATTTTTCTTTTTACTTCTTTAGTCTGGCTTGAAAGATTGTACAAATAGGAAATTGTCAAACTGATCTTAATTGCTGAAAAAGAAGTAAAAAGTTGATAATCAAGACAAAAGGTTTTCAACCAAATGTTATACCATAGCTCATCAGTAAGAATGAGGCTCTACAGATGAGATTGGGGTGGATGTGCAAGAGGCTATAATGTTTCTTTTGAACTCATCTTGTGAAATTTGAGGACCCTGTTTTATTCTTGGCCAGGCAATTGGGAAATGGTCCGTTATCACAGACATAGCAATGGGGGATTCGGTTGCCATGTGAAAACACACTCCAATGGATTTTGGGCTTATATAATCCTTCTTTGTTCACCACTCCTATGTATGCTGGTATTTTCTTTATCTCTCTTAATTTTAGTTAATAATTATTCCTTTATTTGTTCATTATTTTTCAAGAATAAACAACATGTGCTCTTGTGGTCACACTCTAAAGCATTACTTTTCTATATTATGTTTTTTTAATAAACAAGTTGGCAAAGAGAAGAAGGCAGTAAAAATATACTCCCTTCGTCCCTGAAAATACTTCCAACTTTAAGAATTGCTGTGAACCACAAATTCTTTGCCAAAAAGGGAAAGAGAAGTTCTTTTTGGGACAGACGAAAAGGGAAAGTTGGAAGTATTTTCAGGGACCAAGGGAGTATATTTTTACTGCCTTCTTCTCCAACATGCTGTCCCTAAACCGCTAACTTTTTTTATCATTCCTTTATCAATCTTAAGTAAAATAAACACTAATGTATAAAATAGCAGTAGTCCCCTTTAATTATTGGAGTTGAATTTCGTTTTGTTATGAAATATGAAAGGATAGATGATGTGTCTGATCTGTATATTCTTTTATTTGCAGAAAAACTATGCTGATTGCTAGGTCAATAGAGTTACGAATTAAGTTTGATTGGTACGTTTATTATTTGGTTCTTAGCGGGATTTTTGGTATTGGTTTTTGCAAACATGCTCTATTGGAAAGATGTTCTATTGGAGATCCAACTATACTGGTATATGTTCATTGGTAGAATTTGACATCACTTACTTTCTTTTTGTATAACATCAGTTGTGAAATATAAAAGAATTTGAACTACTGAATAAGTATTATTTCTGCCTCTTTATCTTTTATTTATTTATTTATTTATTTATTTGTTTATTCACAATGAGTGTTGAAGGTTGTCACATGGGTATCTTGAGAATGTCATTCCCCAATTGTGTGCAATTTCTTTCATAGGTGAATCAAGTGAAGGGTGAAGATGTTGTTTGTGTGGTGAAGAACTCAGTAGCTTTGATTAGATCGTTATTCACTCTACATGTTTCTCAAGTCCTGATTGATCTCCCTACTCTTTTTGACAAAGATAAAGAGGTACTAACCCTAACCTCTCACAACTCCATATAAATTGTTTTCCTTTTTATATCGTAGAAGGTGTTATGTTATTAAATACATATACATTTTCACGAGCTATTGAGGATCTTTATTTGGTCATTATTGTTGCAGGGCGAACAAGATTTAATTTCTTCTTAAATCTTTGAACAGCCCTGCATACGCAACTGCAGTAAGAGAAACCTTTAGAATTAAACATTCTAAAAAATTGACTATTTTTCTAAGTATCCTAGCAAACAATCACCATTATAGATTACTTTTTTTTTAAACACGTAAAAACTTGTACATAGTATATAATTAAACCGTAATCATTTATTCACTTCGATACACAGGTTCTTTGCTGTTTCTCTTATAGTATTCTTCGCTCTGTGGATCTCGTCTACTCCTGGAAACTTTATTAATGTCATGGTGAGAACGAATGGAAATTCAAAGCAACTTAAGTGATGGAGCTTTAAAGAGATGTAATGAATGGTTTGGTATTTAGGGATTCTTTAACATGTCCATAATAAAAGAGGAACTCAAGATCACTGTTGCCCATGCTGGCCCGCCTGGGTGGGGTGACCATGGATGGTTTTACATCA